ATCTTTTCCATTTAGGTAATAACAGACTGCTGGCAAAGCCTCCAGCACAGAGCCGAGCTGCAGGTGAGCAGCCGGTGCTGCGGAGTCTGGCTCCGGTTCAGCGACTTGCCTTCCGGTGATAATCGGGGGCTTTCCCGGGACTCTGCCAAGGAAGGGCCTTCGCTCCCTGAAGGCAGCCTGCTTGGGGAATCTTCTGTGCCTTCAGAGAGCTCTAGAGGTGCACCACCCCTGCTGGGGGGGCAGAGGGGCTCTGGGGAGGGGCGAGGGTAGAGAAGGGGCGAGGGTACAAACTCTTCGGATAGCAGCTAGTCATGCAATAGGGGTGTTTCATGAAAAAAACACTAGTTTTCTTGAAGTGATTGTGACAAAAATACTCCTCATTTTGGTTCAACCTCCCCTCGAGCACGGAACCTGGTTTGATGATCGACACCAAACATTTTGCCCAGATTTTTTTCTTGTTTCCTTTTTTCTCTCTCTCCCTCCCGCATCCGTCCCTTTCCCATTTGCCCCTGAAAAAGGACAGGGAAAGGGAGAGAAGTGGGGGAAGGGGGCAAGAAAACAAACCAAAACTAGATTTGGGGGGGGGGGGCGAGGGAGTGGATGGGGCAGTTGTTAAAATAGCAGAAAAATTAGGAAAAAAAGAACCATTATAGACACACATGTAAATTCATGTAGAAAAAGGCCAATTTCACACATTCCCATTGCACCACAAATATCAACCGGCACACAAAGCCCCCCCGACACAGATACAATCTCCAATCTCCCTGACACAGACACACTGGCCCTGTGGGGAGATTGGACATTTGTTACAGCTCTCGGACCCCTCCCTCCAGAGGCCCCCGCGCTGCCCAAAGAGGAGTGTGTGTAGGGGGGGGGAGGGAGGGCGGGGGACTGTGTGTGTGAGAGATGCCAACCTGTCAGGGCTGTGACTACAGCTGACAAGTTTGCTTAATAGAAATAAATATTCATATAATTGATTAGCCTTAATTACAACCCAAATCACCCCCTCTTCACCCAGCTCAATGAGCCTGTGACCCGCACGGGGAGAAAAGACAGCAGCAAGAAGTGTCTCTCCTGCCGGTATTATTAGGAGGTCTCTGTCCCTAATAGGAAAAGGCTGTCTTGGATCTTCTCACCCTACAGCTCCTTGTCCCAGAAGAGCTAGGGTGACCAGACAGCAAGTGTGAAAAATCGGGACAGGGGATGGGGGGTAATAGGAGCCTATATAAGAAAAAGACCCCAAAATCGGGACTGTCCCTATAAAATCGGGACATCTGGTCACCCTAAGAAGAGCCCCCAGGCCCCACCCCAGGAATAGGCCTGTCTCAATAGCTGCCCCCTCCCAAGAATCCCCTGTGCCAGACTGGAATGGTGCTGTATCTATAGATCTCGCTCTCCAACTCAGCTGGGATGTGTCTACACTGTAGCATGCCCCACTCAGGAGTTAAGCCCATCCTTTTTGCAGTGTAGACATATCCTCCAACTCCCCTCTGCCCCACGCTAGCAGCCGTCTCACTAATCTTGACTCCCCATTCCCCCACTGGGGTGAGTCTCTACATGCCAGAGATCCACCCCGGCTGCGGCCTCCTGAGGAGGTGAGATAGGAGCTGCGTCTGGGCCCGCAGACAGAGCTGGGGTGAGGAGCGGAGCCAGGCAGGTTTCCAGCCCCATTCCTTCACCTTGCCAGGAGGGAGCCAGTGATGCCTTTGCTGGTTTTGCGGCTGCCCCCAGCTGGGTGGGGGGAGCGGGCGCGTGCAGAATGGCAATGCCCCCCTGGTGGCAGCAGGGAATGGCCCAGCCAGGTGAGGGGTTGTGGGGGGCCCAAGAGCACAGAGACGCTGGAAGGAGGGCCGCGTGCCTTCTCCCCGGGAAGGAGGGGGCTATGGCTGGTGCCCCAGTCTCATGGTCTGTACAGTGCCCCAAAGCCCTGGGGAGGCACAGCCTGTTGGAGCTAAGCAGAAGGACCCATAGCCAGGAAGGCCTTTTACTGCTATTCCTGGCCATACAGACAACCCAGCCACCCGGGGTATCATGGGGGTGCTGGGTGGCTAATGAGGACCCATGCACTCCCCCTGCCCCTTCCACTGCATCACGTCCGATCTCCTAGGGCAGCACACAGTGGGAGGAGAAGGTCCAGGGGACACATTCTGGCCCGGCGAGAATGAAATGACGTGTGAGTCCCTGGGACAGGCCCCATTCATCTTCATCAATGGGCAGGGGAAGAATTGGAAATGGCAGGGCGAGATTAGACTGCTGCGCATCCCTGTCACAGTCATTTAGATCCCCGCCACCTTGCCACTGTGCGAGAGCGTGGGCGCCTATGGTGCTGTCCATTCAGGAACCTCGGCCCGGTGCTCCCCCACCTCCGGGAGCCAGCCTCCCCTGGGGGGTGGGGAAAGCCGCTCAGACCCTGTGACATTCAGGAATGGGAGGGGTGCGTGGCTCATAGTACGACTGAGCACCACCCTCAACCCCTGCCCCAGGCAGATCCTCCCCTTTCCCCCTGTGCTGCACCCCTTCCCCTAAAATGCAGATTCTTCCACTTCAAAAACAAAAAGCACCCACCTCCCTGCCAAAGGAGAAACCTCATTTGTTTTCGGCAGTACGGGGCATATGACACATAGTTGAGCAGTGCTGATTCCACCCAGTAGGGGGCTAACATGCGACAGCAGCACTGAGATACTGCAGCGAGGGGCACTCTAGCAAGGCTTCAGAGAGAAATGCACCAGTCAGCTCATTAGACTGGGGGACAAACCACCCCTGGTGACAAACTGCAGAACAAAATTTGGTTCAGAATCCAACCCCCCCACGATCTCAGGCATGGCTGGGCTTGAGGATCCAATGTGTCCTTTTTATAGCCATAGGTGCAAATGACATTTGGATCCGAAGCAGAAGGTTAACCCGGAATACAGTTTTGGGCCCATCCATCTGTCCAGCTCTCTCATAAGCGTCCCTGCACCTTCCTCTGTGCTGTGCTTTTAGTGTGCTTGCTATATATACACTTCTCTAAGTTGAAGTGCCTGAAACCCCTGGCTTCCCTCCCAGCTGCCACCTCCCTTGCTTGCAAATGATTTCTAGAAAGCCATTTAAAATGTATTATCCTTCCAAGGAGGAGCCGATAAACAGGCTTGGGAGGGGCAGGCGCCGGAGGCACAATGCAGTGAGCTGCCATATTTCCTGGCTTTGCGTTGTTCTCCTCCTGGCCTTTTACCAAGATCGATGGCCATTTATTATGAAAATAAATTACCAGCTGTGTGCAGGAGGCCTTGATGGGAGGGGGACAAGTGTCAGCCTTTCCTCTGTGTGGGTCTGCTTGTATGGGTATGTGTGTGCGTCACCCGGTGCCGCTGGTGACGAGAGAGCGGAGCGTTTTTGATAGCCATCAATCTGTCAAATTTACTATCTAATGGCGTGTGTGCGCGTGCTGTGATTTCTAGCAGCGAGACGCAGGAGGATGGGTGTCTGTGGCCAGTGAGACACAGCAAATGTCCAGTGTCTGGCTGTTGGAGCCACACAAATCATTCATGTAGTGAGTTTGTGGGTGCTGTGAGTGTGTGTGCCAACAGTGTGCTGATTTGGGGTTGGGGGAACTCGAGTTTTGGCTGTCCAGCATGAGGCATCCCCGGCCAGGGGGCCAATATTGACATTTGTGCCCATTCTGTGTGTGCACAGGGCTGGGTTGGGCTCTCGGTAGGCATGTGTTCAGGCAGGGTGTGTGGGTAGCGGGTGTGCCCGTCTAGTGAACTTAGTGTGCCTTGTGTTGTCAGTGGGTGGCATGCACTAGGTGAGTGGTGTAGTGGCGCTGTGCTGGGTAGAGCGGATGGTGCATGAACGACTTGGGAGATGAGATTTTTACACTGGAGCCTTGGAAGGATGACAAACTCTGCCCCCGTCCTCCCCTCCTCAACCCCCTGGAGAAGGGAAACCCACTACCTCCATTCCTGTCTCGCTGGATGAGTTGGATGGAAGAGTTGAATAACCGCCTACTCCATCGCCTTTTGTGTTACCCACCCATTGCCCTTCTCACCCTCCTCCACCCCGAAATAATCCTGCTCTGGCGCGCATGGGGAGCAATCCAAGGGGAACTGCAGAAGCTAACCAAAGGAGGACTGAGATAAGAGCCCTGCACGAGATTTCTGCACTGGACTCTGGGTCCATGCCCCCGGGAGGAAGGGCAGAACCTGAACTGGAGCCCTGTGGCCCCTGGAGTGGAATATGGCAGGTCTTGGGGCACAAGGCCTGAAAACGATCCGCAGAATCTCTTCTTCTGGGCAAGGCTGGGAAGCTGGTGGCATCTTTTAAAATTCACAGAGGATTTTTGGAGAAGTTCCCAGCTGAGGGCAAGATTCTAAGCCCCTCCCTCCTACCCCACCCCACCCCTGCCCCCCATGATCCAGCCTTCCCCCACTGGAGCCCCTACAGATGAGAGACTCGGAGGTTCAATCCCGGAGACATTAATAAAAGAAACCAGACAAAAACCTTCACGTTCCTTCTCGTGGGTGAGCGCGTGCTTCGACTCCGAGATACAGTCCCTGACTCTTGAAATTAATTCCCCATCCCTGGTGCATCGGCAAAATAACTAATCTGGCAGCGCTGGGCTTGCTGCAGATTTCCTGGTGGACAGAGCCCCCTGCAGGAGGAAAGGGGGAGGAAGGAAGGCACAGCAAGGAGCCAGGGAGAGGTCAGAAAACGGGGTTGGTAGGAGAGAGGAAGAGATGCAGGGGCCCTGCAAACTACAGGGTTGGGAGCATGTATGATTCTAACCTGCAATTCCCCTCCTACCTACCATCCCCCGGCTTGTAGGGACCTCTCCCAGTGGGCATCATTGTCTTCCATGGCTCCCTGCCACTTCTCCCCTGGCCTGTTACCATGCTCACCGCGCCCCTCCCGCCTGCATCCAGCTACTCAGTGCCTTTCCGTGTCCCGATACTGCGCTGAATCATCACCCTGGGCGTGCAGCTTTCTAAAGAAGGCAATGTGACATCCTTTGATATCGTCTGTGCAATTCTTATCTTTTAATGATCATTCCACCCTGCGGCTTGTTTGGGGTTTTTACACAAGAGACCAGAGTTCAAAACCCTAGGGCACTGTATGTGCTGGGCATTCCCTGCTCTCCCTGCTTCTGGCCTGAAACGGTGCAGCTGAGTGACCCCTGGGAGCGCTGCAGGCTGGGAGAAGACCCTGAAGATCCACACTAAGGCTTCTCTCCAGAGCCTCAGCCCCTCACAGAAACCTGTTTGCCAGGCCCTGAGTATGAGAGACTTGGGAGGTAGAAGAGCAAAGTGGTTACCCTGGCCCAACAGTACAGTACCAAAGGACACCATTTCTCCTTGTCCCCACGAAACCATCTTGGCTTCCTGCAACCCATTGTCAATGTACACATATATACACATTGGGGACTCCAAACTATTAATGCTGTCTTCAGGGGCACAGTGTGGGGGACCCTGGAATGACTTGGTGCAGAGAGGGCTCCCCGGTGCACGGGGTCATGTCCCTTGGGCTCTGGTTTCACACTGGGGTTCTTAACCCCAGTGACGACCTCTTCATGGTCACAGGCCTCTCACTTCTCAGGTTTACTTGCGTAGAAGAGCTGCAGCTGGTTCTTGAAGTCTGCTGCTGGCCTGTGGACAATCCCAGGGGGAGGAAACCTTTGGGATTCCCCCAGAAGAGCCCACAGGCCCGCTGCCCAGCTCAGTGGCTGGGGAGGAAGTCTGAGAAACCAGACGTCTGCAGGACTGTCCTGGCCAAGTCTGGGGGCTGGAGACCCCTGCAGCCTGTCCAACGTGAGGAGGCCAGTGTGAGGTGTACATAAGGCTATGTCTTGTCATAGAGCCTCTGTCAGTTCAAGTGCGGGAGAGGCTGTGCCCATTGTCCCGGCCTCCAGATCCACGTCCGCATCAACCTACTCCCCTTCAGAATTGAACTCCCGGATTGGAAAGGGAGGAGCCAAATGGTGCTTGTCAGCCTGTCAGTCACCTTCTGACCAGTCAGGAGGTAGGGGAAGGTGCTGCTCCTGAGCGTCCTTTGCTGGTAGAGCCCAGTGGGGGAGGATATGGCCCAGTGATTAAAGATCATCTGGGCAGCAACGAGTGGGCCGGCAGCTGGCTCAGTTTTTGCTGGCGATCTTTTTCTTACGGGCTGAGACCAAGTCATAGAAGGGATCCTGGGTGATGCTGGTCCTGGATAGAGGAGGAACGAGAGAGAGATTCAGGGCTGGGAAACGACATGGAAAGCCACAAGGGTCTCTCTGAACCTGCAAACAATGGACCGCCTCCCTCCCCCGAACAGGGGATCTGCAGGCCCCTCAGCAGCACCCGGCGCCTCCAACTAGTGTAGAGTCAGGCTTTGCAGGCCAGAGGAGGAGCCTGAAGATTCACTGCAAGGGCCTCCAGGCCCTAGATGGCTAATGCACTGGAGCCATAGGGGTGGAGAGGCGAGGGGGTCAGTGATGTCCACAGGGTGTGAACATTTATCTCCCCAGGGGCGATGCCCCTCTGCTCCCTTGCATGTGAAATAGCTGCTGCCCAAGTGCCCCAAAGAGGCAAGGTGAGGCCTCCAGCTCTGCATGCTGGCACAGCATTGCCATTCACCTCTCTGCCCGCCGGCACACCACAGGCAGCTCTGGCCTCTGCTAGTGCCATGTCTCCCCTGACCTGAGCTCATTCCACCCCATTTCACCCTGTCTGGGGGAGTCCTCTCCTCTCCCTCAGGGCCCGTCCCCTCACCGTATCGCCTCAATCCACAGGTTGCGCTCCTCTGGCGTGGCTGCCGAGATCTTGTAGGACTGGTGCTTGCCTTCTACCACCTTCCCATCCCCATCTGTCTTGCAGGCTTTGATCTTCTGCCCCTTGCAGTTGGGATTGAAGAGCTCGAAGCAGTTCTGCAGGGAGAGACGTGGAGGGAGTCAGGCAGTAAGTCCATTGTTCCAGGGGCCCAGCTTTGGGAGGTCACGCTAAGGGAGTTTGCAGAGGTGGCAGTGGGCTTGTCTGTTCCTGAACTGGGGCCAGGACTTTGCCTGTCATGCTCTGGGGATCCCAGCACTGTTGAGTTAGATGCCAGTAGCTCAGACTTCAAAGTAAAAACCACAACACTCTGCACTCAGTGACTACTGCACCATTGTGACCACCAAACCATGCTTTACAGAGAGAGAGAACAATGGCCGAGACTCTGGAAAACACCCTGTGGTTTGTGCTGCACCCCAAGCAGCCTACCAGAGACAGTTATACAGGAACACTGCCTAACAGCTTTTGGGCACCTCTGACAGGACAGCATCACCTGTCATACTGCAACCAGCTATGGACAAGGGACAGACAGAAAGGGGGGCAGGTTGAGGTAAGCTTTCTTGGGGAACCTCTCTAACAGCACAGCGCTATTTCTTACTCATAGACTTTAAGTCCAGAAGGGACCATCATGATCATCAATTCTGACCTCCTGCACATTGCAGGCCACAGAACTTTGCTCACCCACTCCTGTAATGGACCCCTAACCTCTGGCTGAGTTACTGGAGTCCCCAAGTCATGCTTTAAAGACTTCAAGTTACAGAAAATCCACCATTTACACTAGTTTAAACCTGCAAGTCACCCCTGCCCTATGCTGCAGAGGAAGGTGAAAAACCCCCAAGGTCTCTGCCAATCTGACCCGGGGGAAAATTCCTTCCTGACCCCAAATATGGAGATCAGTTGGACACCGAGCAAGGCCCACCAGGCAGACACCCGTGAAAGAATCCACTGTAGTAGCTCAGAGCCCTCCCCATCTAGTGTCCCATCACCAGCCATTGGAGTTATTTGCTGCTAGCAGTCGCAGATTGGCTACATGCCATTGTAGACAGTCCCGTCATACCATCCCCCCTGCCCCCTAAAGCTCAGTCTTGAAGCCAGTTAGGTTTTTGCCCCCACTGTTCCCCTTGGAAGGCTGTTCCAGAACGTCACTCCTCTGATGGTAAGAAACCTTCATCTAATTTCAAGCCTAAACTTGCCGCAGGCCAGTTTATACACTTCCTCCAAAGTAGCACAGTATGGAGTGGCACAAACTCCTGATGAAGGAACCAAATCTAGAGCTGGGCAGAGAAAGGTCGTTTCGTTTTGTGGAGGATTCCAATATTTCAAAATCTGGTTCCATTCAAACTCAGAACAAAACTGAAACATTTCAGCAGTGCCCATGAAAGGGAAAGCCCGGGGTCCCTAACTCTGAAACAATCTGCCCACCAAGTGAGCTGGAGAGGTGCTGGGTGGGTGAGCTGGCAGGATGCCAGGCAGGTTTTGAAAGCTGCCTGGTTTCTGGAGGAACTCTGTCCATATTGAACCATCGCCACAGGATGTTTCAATTTCAACTAATTGGCAAATTCCCATGAAAAACTTCACTGGAATTTTTCCACCCAGCTCTAACAGAACCATAACTTCCTGGCCTGAAGTCAAGACCCCTGTGCCTTGAGCAATCAGGTCTTGTTCCAGCCCCTGCTCCAGTGTACCCAGAGCTGCTATAGAGAGGGACAGGACTGCTAATAGGCAAGGGGGGCAGGGATAGCTCAATGGTTTGAGCATTGGCCTGCTAAACCCAGGGTTGTGAGTTCAATCCTTGAGGGGGCTACTTGGGGATCTGGGGCAAAACCAGTACTTGGTCCTGCTAGTGAAGGCAGGGGGCTGGACTCAATGACCTTTCAAGGTCCCTTCCAGTTCTAGGAGATGGGATATCTCCATTAATTTATAATTTATTTATAACTCAAACGTACTGAGTTTGATACTGATCTTCCACCAGTGCAACCCAAGTAAAGGGCCATTGACTAATGTATAACTACTGGTCTATAGCAGCGTAACAAAGACTAGAACTGCAACCTCCAGGACAACCTCAGCAGAGAGGCCAAGCACTGAGCAGGCTATGGGGAATGAACTCCCCCTGCCACCCATAGGGGCAGCCCCTCCTAGACAGACCTGAAGCACATCAGCAGGGCTAAGGTGTGTGGAAAGTTTATCCTACCGCTGCCCATGCTGTGCCTGCCCCTATCTTGGAGGTAAAGGGAGGGTTTGGTCTCTGCAGCTGTTGATCCCGTGTTTCTCACCTGCACACATGTGGCGCTTTAAAGAGAATCTGCCTGGGGCTGAGTCCCGGGGTGGGGTAGTTCAGACACTCCACCTTCCAAGACAGCAGAGTGCTGCCTGGGACAATGCTGCTGAGCGGGGCAGGAGGAGATAAACCTGCTAGCGTCTCTGACGACACATGCTTGTCGCGGTACCAAACGGTGGAGACTTACTGGCTTTTTGGGGTCTTCCACTTTCCGAACCGATAGATTCTCCAGGGGGATGATCCCCAGAGGTTCTTTATCCTGGAAGCCAACGAGAAGCAGGTATGAGGGTCTGACATGCTCCCAGCGCCCAGACCAATGAAGTGTTGCTCCCCATTGCCCTGGCATGCACCCCAGAGCATTATGGCAAAGCAGGCTCCCAACACAAACACACTAGCAAATCAAAGGGGAGCTTGGTGCCCATGGCTATAGCTGGCCAGAGTTCTGCCTGACAGAACGTATCATATGGTTGATTCTAATCAGTCTGGAATGGCAGCTGTGGGTCATAGCTTGGGGCTGGGGGTGGGAATGGTAGGGCTCAGTCTGACTGCAGTCCAGGGATGACAGAGTGGCGTGTATCCCCATCCCTCATTGCCCCTGGAAAATATAGAGCCCCTGGGAGAGAACTCCTTGACTGAAGTGCAGCCTTACCGTGGTGTATTCAAAGTAGTACAGGCAGTTGTCAGTCAGAATGAACCAACGGCGCTTCCAGGTCTTCACCCGGCCTCCTAGGGGCAGCAAGATTCAAAATGTGTCAGTCCCTGACAGCTCCCCCTCACAATCACCCCCTGAAGATTAGTGCCCAGGGATATAACCTCCACCCCATGCTGAACGCACCCCCGGAGCTGGCACAGCTCAGAACTGGGGGGAGGGGAGGCATCCTTCTCAGCAGACTGGCTTTGGGAGGTGCAGGCGTGGGCTGGTTAGAGAACAGCCGGTAAGTTTGAACACCAGGGGTCAGGCTCAACCCGCGGCAGCAGAAGGAAGGGCGGCTGCTGCAGACCTCCACAGGGTTGCATAGGAAACTCTTGGGGTGATGCTCATGGTGGTGAGCTGCACAAGGAGGCGCTTCGTACCCAGTTTAAGGAGCCAGCCCTCACGGCTGGGGTTGAAGAAAGTGTGCGTGAGGTCATTGCCATCATCCTCCGGGATGGAAAATGGCTCATTCTTGATGCTCTCGAACAGATTCTGCCCCAGAGAAAGAGGGAGAGAAATGAAAACGCTGGCATAGGGTGACCTGACTTAACTCACTGACATTCCCTACATATGGATGGACAGGGGTTGAGGCTACGTGGTACCCCTTAATGCTCATCTCACAGGGACAAAATGGGAGTGGTATGTGTGCGTTCAACATCCCTGTGCCGAAACAGGCCCTAGTTACATGTGCACGCACACACACTCAATGGAGAACACTCCTGTAAGTGAGCAATCAGGTGTGGGTACACACACACATGCACACGTATGCCCATGCGGACAGCATGCTATTTTGCACGGCCACGCACAAGCGCAGAGGGTAGCAATGAGAAGCAGACACACCTACATGTGAGCTACCAGGCACACCCCAGTACATTGCACAGCTGTGGGAGGGATTCTGGTTTCTCGTCCTGTACGGGTATGACATTGTGCTACTTGACATCGCTTATTACGCAAAGTTCTGAGTAAAAGGTTCCTGCAATTTCCTCCAAACAACTGTCAGGAAGCTGAGCCCTTTCCACTGAGGGAGGAGTGGGGCTGAGGGGTGCTACATCAAGCCAGGGCTGCTGCTGGAGTCGGTGGGTGGGTGTCGTGAGCAGGACAGAGTCGATACAGGGTTCTGAATGCCAAACAATCACTGTGGCCTGTACGAGCCCCCTGATGCCAACCGGCAAAGGGCGTGTGGTTATGTAACAATAAATCCCAGCAGGCCTGACAAACTCACTACACCCAACACACAGCTGTCAGAATATTTAGCCAAACACTGTCTTGTAAGGTATCATATGAAAACTGGTGCCACGCTGGTCATGAAGATCATTGTGTGATGTATGTATGGGTTGTGTATAAAGAGTTGTGTATGGGCGCTGGCAATATGTTCTTATGCTATGTTGTGGAGGCAGCTGATGAGCAAGCCTGCCTTGGAGAAAGGAATGTGGCTTTACCTGTCAGCATGGATCACGCTCTGAGACAACAGCATGGCTTGATCACAAGCAAAGGCCAAGGAAAGTACATTTGCATCCAAAGTGAGCGAGCCACCCAGAAAGCAAATTGACCAGAGGATGAGGAGCGGGCTTGTCGCCTGCACCCCGAAGAACAAGCAGCCGAGGAGAGGAGCCGTGGGGTTACTTTTCGGAGAATACATTTCAAAGGTTTTTTTGGACTATAAAAAGAAGCAAGAGGACTCCTTTGTTATCCATCACTTAGGGGACCCTGTGAATGGTGGGTCCTCCTGCCGGAGGGGCTGGGGATGCTGATAGCTTGATGGAGGTGCGAAAGCTGCTGAGGGAGATCGCTGCTTGCTAAGGTTAAGTTTGAGTCACTAGAAAACGTGTGCTTTTTGTGTTGTTTGTAACCATCTCTTTTCCTCTTGCTTCGGGTCTCTTCAGTTTCTGTTCTGTGTTCAGACACTTGGGCTTGGCTTTAAAATTTTATTAAGATGATGTTAAAAAAAACTGACAGGTTTCAGAGTAGCAGCCGTGTTAGTCTGTATCCGCAAAAAGAA